AGGGCCTGGCGTGCGATGTCATTCGGCGGCCTCCTCAATGTACGCCCGATCCATCTCCACTTTCTCCTACATATTTGTTGAGCGATCGGCTCTCCCCTGTTTTTTTCCATGGTTTCTTGTTGCTTATTCTTTCTGGCTGACAGTTTGATCTTCAGTATAAAGCGAAGGCAGCTGTTGGTAAAAGTCTGCGACCTGTTGGAAGTGCTTTTCGTGACACGCTGGCCAAGTTTCTGACCCGTAAAGAAGAACCGACTACACATTACTGTTGAAAATGCGAATCTTGTTCCTTATTCTGAGTGTAGAAGATTTCCAAACTGGTTTCAGGTTGATGAAGGCGTATCTTACCTTCCCGATTCTGGTTAGCTTTGACATCTTCATCCGATCCACTGGCCTGTAGTCAAAACAATACTTCCTAGATAAGTGGAGGCAACCTCCGTTAAATCTCTCCCACTGTTGGTAATTGGTGCTGGTTGTTGCTGCTGTTGATTCATTATCTTCATCACCTCCGTCTTCTCTGTGTTCACCTGCAGTCCTGTCTTCGTCACCTGCTTCTTCAGCCAATTTGTCGCTTTTCGCCTGCAAGTCTTCGAGTTTGTGTGACATTAGAAATAAATCATCCACGCGCGTAATCCAGATCTTCTAGAGTCTTCTTATCGCTCGTCCAGCGTATTCCTGACTCCTCACCCCTCCAACAGTCTGACGCATAATCCAGTCCAGTGGTGGTGTGGGGTTGTTAGCCCCACGCCCAACCCTCCCTCTTTACCCGGGCTTGGGACCGGCTAGAAAACTAGCGAGCTAGTTAACTAGACGAGATTTTATCGAACTCACGGTAGATTTCATCACCAAACCTATATGAAGACTCTTCAACACTATGCACTCAGGAACCCATCAAGGACTGAACCATCCCAACCTCAGAGTGCAAGTTCAGAAGATTATCACTAGACAACTCGCTCAAAATTCAATGAGTCCAATGAATTCTAACAATGAACATTAATTAACAAAATGATTTCACCACTTGCCAGTTAATTCAACTATTTAGCACTAGGAGTGTTCTTTATTTTTCATTTCCCACGAGTTATAAATTGATTTGCCTTAATATATATCGCTTCAAGAGGTAGAATTTTCTTTAACAAGGTGTGGTCGCCAGTCTCACAGTGAATCATCCCTCTCCACTGCGGACTAACTACAAGCTAGTGAACTAGGTGAGATTAAGGAGGGTGTCGGCCGGGAATCGAACCCGGAGCCAAGTATATGCTTGACAAGTGTTCTGCCCTTGAACTACCTACGCACAATATAAGTACTACTTTTATTTATTTATTTATAAGTAGCATGTACAGATGTACACTTGTGTCCCAACAGCCTAGTGGGAAACACTCTGATATTTGGAACAATGTCTGCTGAGTTGAATTCTCAGGGTGAATACTATCACTGACTGGGGGAGAGGGGGCTGACGGGTGTATCGCATTACAGATGATGAGTCTCAAGTAAGAAGAAAGTTCTGGTAATGAAATCCATTGAGAGATCACGTAGTTAATTAATTCACAACCAAGTTAAACCAACAACAACAGCAGCAACATCCACCGCCAATCACCATCAACGGGAGGGATTTAAAAGAGGTTACCTCATTCACTTACCTACGGAGCATTGTCTCAACTACACGAGGAACGGACGACGATGTCAAATCGAGAATCAGGAAGGCAAGAAACACATTCATCAACCTGAAACCAATCCGGAAACCTTCGTCACTCAACCAGTCAGCATCAACAACAAAATTCGGATTTTCAATACAAACGTCAAGTCAGTCGGCTCTTCTATACGGATGGATCAGATACTTGGCGGGTCACAAAGAATATTTCCAACAACCTGTTGTAGACCTTTATCAACAACTGTCTTCGCTCTATACTGAAGATCAGATGGCCGGAAAGAATCACCAACAAGAAACTATGGGAATAAACAAAACAAGAACCAATCACCCAACAAATATGCAGGAGAAAGTGGAGATGGATTGGACACTCGCTGAGGAGGCCACTGGGTGACATCGCGCGTCAGGCCCTCCAGTCGAACTTGAAAGGGAAGCGGCGAGTTGGTCGTCCAAGGATGACATGGAGGAGATCGTGTGAAGAAGAGTTGAAACAGTATGGATTGACATGGATGCAGGTGGAGACGTGTATTTGAAGCCCTATGTTCCACTAGGAACCCAAGGGAACAATAATAATAATATCATTAGTTAAACTTTAAGTTGTATAACTAAATATTAATAGCAATAATAGTTACAACAAGAAAATCAACAATAACTGTATTCATAGTTTCGGTTACGAACACCAAACGTGCGAATGATAAATTCATTAAACCAGTTAAAAGCTGATAATAATAATTAGCTTTAAACTATTATTCTTATCTATTATAGGGATCTAATTATACTAATCTACAAATGATACAGTGAGTTGGTGGCCCAGTGATAGAATGCTCATCAGTTGCGTGGTAGATCAGAGTTAGATTCGCGTTCTAAACCTAGCCAGTTTTACTAACCATCTCTGTAAAAGATAAGCTCCCTCATCTAGCCGTCTGCATGTGCATTTATCAGTTCACTTGCTCTTGTCAGGTAAGGTTCAGTGGCTGTAGCCAGATAATGCCTTTCAGGATAGTACACATTCTAGAATACTTCTCACAAGGGAGAAATCAAAGTGAGGAGCTCTATTCTAAAACACCTGATCGGCTTCCATGATTCAACCAACCACTAGCATGATTTTAAAGCCATCTGTCCAATTCATGCTAACTGGAAGTCTTCTTCTAATTGATGACAGTGGAGGCCTTGGTCATTCAAGAATTCAAATTAGACCTTTGTGTACCTACCTTGACCATAGAGGGATAAATATTTACCTATCCCTTATTACTACAACCGTTATTATCATAATTATTATTCTTAATTAGTACAGTTTCTAGTATTATTCCATTTGTCCCATTTGTCATTCAAAATAAATCATAAATTTTGGCAATACTGAATTCTTCGACTGGACACTAGTTACTAACTAGTGTAATGTGTGTGTCTAGTCCTTTGTTTGGTGTAGACTGAATTCCGTCAGTCAGGTTTTCAATGTGGCCACCATGCCACTAGGTGGCTCGCCATCAAGGTGAACTTTGAATTGTTTACATTAGATGGTTGGAGGCAATCGGCCACAGGAAGCCTTGCCCGACCTAGCTAGGTCTCGTGATAGTTGGCACTCACCAGCAGTCAGCAAGGCAGGCGTATCTGCAACCTTGAAGCAACTCATGTCCCTCCTGAGATTCGAGCCCTCATTATCCAGTGCTCGAGTCAGTCACAGACGTTACTATTGATATATTCGGGATCGTGAATAACCTCCTGTGGGACTGTCACGGATAGTTTGGTTGAACACTAGTTACTGACTAGTGTACAATTAAATTATCCTATACAGTCTTACAGGATGTCAATCGCGAGCCAGAATAGTGGGGGTTCGAATCTCAGGAGGGACATGAGTTGCTTCAAGGTTTCAGGTATGCCTTGCTGACTGGTGAGTGCCAACTATCACGCACCTGGATCAAATGCTTCCTTGTAGCACCCCTACATTAAGCCTAACTGTACGCTCATAAAGCTAATTCATGTACGCATGTTATACGCTTACAGAAACTAATTTTACTTATGCTTGTTGAATATTTGCCGTTGTATTATTGAATATTGCTTTTCGTTTTATATATATATATATATATATATATATATATTCAAGTATTGGTTTTGTGGGGATTTTGTTTGATTGTATGGAAGATTTCATCATGAGCTGACATCAGTTAGAGAACCATTGGAAAACCAGCCACAGGGAATACTGGACAGCTAGCTGTTCCGCCAACCTAGTTTGGGACTCTTCATCAGTACGCACCCACCACAGTAGTTCGAACCCAGCACCTTCTGGTTACAAGGCGGGTGAGCTCATAGACCATTGAGCCACTGGGACTCGACCCAATTTCCAGACCATGAATTCTAACTTCTGCCATAAACCATTTCGGAATGTCTTCTTCGATTAGTTACTGTCTCATCTTCAACCTGCTGTACCCTACTGGCCACAGCTTCCCACCAGAAGTTAGGATTCATGGGCAATTGGATCGGGTCCCAGTGTCTCAATGGTCTACGAGCTCGCTCGCCTTTTAACCAAGAGGTCCTGGATTCGAACTACTGTGGTGGGTACGTACTGATGAAGAGTCCCAAACTAGGGCGAAGCAGCTGTCCAGTATTCCCAGGTTTTCCAGTGGTTCTCTAACTGATGTCAGCTCATGATGAAATCCTCCATCCAATATATATATGTATATATATTACGCAGTTACGCACTTTTTCGTTCACCTCGCGCTTTTTAAAATTCAATTTCCTTAACAATACATCTTTTCAAGTTTTCACTCATGCTTCTTAATACGACGTTGTTCGTCGTTGACCGTGTACAGCGTTAGCACTTATTAGAACGTGAAAAAGTGGATGTACTGTACCGTAGTAATCGGAATCATCTTCAGCACGCCCATATCCTGCCGACTTCCACCAACCAACCACCTAATATCAATAATACTAAGTTCTGTTTTTTTTTTTTTTTCAAATTTCACATCATATTATGTAACGTCTTTATATATATATATATATATATATATATATATATATAGAAAAGCGTCTCTTCTCTGAATGTTCAATTCTTGAAATTTAATCACTTAAGTCGGTTATTTTAATTTTTTTAAAAAGACAGTCTCAAGTGTTCTAAATGAGCGAATAAATGAATGAAAAACAGCAAAGTTAGCGAACTTCTTTTATCATTATGATTATTACGTTTGTATTCCCGCCACTTGTCCAATGTTCAATTTCAATGTTTTATATCAGTCTATTTTACTTTTATTCTTTAAAATTAACCTATGTACTCTTTAATAATTAAATAATTAATTACTTGTTTACATGAAGAATAAATTTTTTTAATGTGACTTTGAACCCGTCTTTTAGTTTAATGGAAAACAACGTTTAGTTAGTTGGTTGTTTTTTTGTATTCTTCAGAATTATATAAAGAGTTCATAAATCCTTCATTTTGACTTAGGTTATTTAACAAACAGTCTACTACTGAATAGTCTTTCTTACTCAAATTCATCATGAAACACTTCATCAGTTCCTCACTAAGTCTATTCCTACTCGGTAAGTTATGCTTACATAATTATTAATAGTGATATAATACAATTTTTTCGTATTTTAGGTATTTGCTTTGTACAGCTATGTTCATCTGTAAGTATATTGTGATAATAATAATAATAATGATATTGATTTTTTGGGTTAATATCGATCTAAATTAACATAAATGCAGACTTTAGTCATGTGTAGAAGGAATTATTTTGAAAAGTTCATTGCATGTCAAACACCAGCAATACATGCTCTTTCTTTTCATTAGTTTCAAACTTCTCATAGGGTTGCGTTTCTTAAAAGTTTTAAACTAAGACATAGTCAAAATTCTAAAAAGTAGTCGAGGTAGTTGGAGAGAGGTTGATTACTGAATCCTGTCTGGTTCATCGAGTCTACACGCAACACATGCGCAATAGAAGTGACTCAACGCAAATACCACAGATATGGAAGATATTATTACCAGCAGTCAGTCAAATCACAGGAGGATAATAAATAATCTTAAAATCATATTTCAATTCACGTACATTCTAAGATTCTAACAAGTTAATAATAATAATTTGCTTTATTCCAGAAACAGTACTAGTGGTACAGTGTGGAATTTTCAGCACATATCTACAATATTTGCATCTAATTTTATCAAACATTTAAAGGAGTTTCACAAAAATAAATATAAAGACAACAACAACAAAAAACACACAGAAATAATTAAAAAATGCGAAAAAATACCAAGAAGTAGGAAGGAAAATAAATAACATAAAATAATATCTCAGTATTTGGTAGTGGAAGCTATGATATGACTATGCATGGTAACAGTAAAGCTATAGTCATACAAGAAGTTATGAAATGATATTTAAGAATGTTTATCGCCAAGATGATCAGTTAATTCGGTTGAAACAGCACTAAACAATCATAAAATAACATTTCAGGGTTGTTGTTTTGTTTTTTATTGTCAGGTCTAATGCAGTGTTTGTAGTGGTAGTGTGAGTAATCCTGAATAATACAAAATTTTAAGATGATGATAATGGTGTTCACAACCAATGTTTGACAGTTAATATTGCCGAAAAAAAATAATAAAAAAATAATCACAAAAACTAATAATTACATGGTGGTTAATGACAGGACAATTTTGTACTACTCATAGTGCTAATATAGTCGGAACCAGTAGATACAGAAAAGAAGGAATAAAGTTAAGTACAAAAAGTAAGTCAATGTTAATAATTTAGGTAGCTAAGTATGTTTAAGAAGGTGTTCACTATAGAATACAAAATAAGAGAGAAATAAAAGAGCCTAAAATTATGTTATTAACAACAAAGCAAGTCATAGGTTTGGCGCTTAACATTGTCTCTGTCGCTTAGAACACGGGCCAAGTATGGTATCGTTGAGTTCCTGTACTTGGTTGTACGAGCATATATTATAATGACCATAAAAACACTCGTCTTATTTCCCATCTGACTGTATTTGATTGATAACACTCATATTATTATCTCTGAATGTACATTATATTTTATCGATTGATTTTTATTCAAATATCTAATCATCAGTTTCCCTCATGTATATAAATGAAGGAAGAAAGTTGTTTGAGTGAGTGAGTGACTTGATATGAGATTATGAGCAGTAATAATTTGTGCTGGAAAGGTGTGGTCATCAGTTAATATTACTGTATAACACTCCACTGTGTGATTTATCAAAATAAAATAAAATCTTATCTATAATGGATTTAAGATAGAACAGCTATCCACTAACCATCAGCTTTCAGTAATCCCCCAACTTATACCAGTTTGTAATGAAATCTGTGCCTTCCGAATGGAACATAAGGACACACAGAGGAACATCTCCATTCCATTCTGTTTCCTTTTTTTTTTACTTCAAACTGGCTCTACAGCTGCCCATTAGGCCTAGATTTTCTCTCCACCTTACCTTCTGCGTGTCACCCTCAAACACTCACTGAATGTCCACTCCATCTCCATTTCCTTCTGCATATTTCACTCACTGTCAGAGCTCCTAGTTGAATATTCTTTTTGACTATGTGATCTTCTCTGTCAAGCGAAGGCAACTCAGATCCTTATGTCCAGAGAGGACTGAACGAACACTCAACCCCTAAATCTTCTGGACTAGCGCTCTAACCAATGAGCAATAAGGTCACAAACTGGGCCCAACAGTGGGCGCAAAAACTGACCCACTGATTAAAAGTCTGATGCACTAAAGACGGAGCTAACTGAACTAGTACTTTTGATATAAGTAAAAAACTTGGGAACTGTGGTAGAGTATAACTCCATTATAGATAAGATTTTATTTTGATAAATCACACAGTGGAGTGTTATACAGTAATATTAACTGATGACCACACGTTTCGAGCACAAATTATTGCTCATAATCATATCAAGTCACTCACTCACACAACTTTTTACTTCATTTATATACATGAGTGGAAAACTCAATATAAGATAATGTACATTCAGAAATAATAATATGAGTGTTATCAATCAAGTACAATCAGATGGGAAATAAGACGAGTGTTTTTATAGTCAAAATAAATAAGTAACTTGTGAGAATGTTGTGATGTATGTGAATTGAAATAGAATTTTAAGATTATTTACTATCCTGCTCTGATTTGACTGACTGGTGGTAATAATATCTTCCACTTCTCTGGTATTTGCATTGAGTCATTTCTGTTGCATGTGTTGAGTGTAGATTCACTCGATGAACCGAGCAGGATTCAGTAATCAATCTCTCTCTGTCTCCACCTACTTATATTACTTCTTAGAATTTTGACTCTGTCCCACCCTATTGTGTGATTGTGTGTTAACGCATGCACTACGATTACTGAGCTTTTTTCTAAATTACTTATCTTCGTGGGGGCAATCATTCTTACCTTAGCTAAATTCTTATGTTCCGACCGGTAATCTGAGAACTCCTGACTTACTAGTTTGACTTATATAGTTGACCACAACTCACAGTCATTGCAAGGTATTTTGTAAATTATATTATTTTGTCTAATTGGGTCTTTTAGCCTACAGAGCTTGTCTCTGATTGAGTGAGTTTGTAGGTTTGAATGCAACCCTAATTCCTGCTTTATTGAGAAATGTCATCAGTTAATATTACTGTATAACAACACTATGTGATTTATCAAAATAAAATCTTATCTATAATGAACTAGTATATATATATATATATATAATATTAGGTCAAATTTCATTTGAACCAGTAACAGTTAAAAAATTTTTCAAAACCCTAAAACACTGGACATTTCTTTCGTTCTAGTTTGGTACTCTACTTCAGTACCCACGCATGACACCTCTAGGGATCGAGTCCAGCACCTTCAGATCACATTGCTAACCCATTAAAGGTTAGGGCGAAATGGAAAGCTGTTTCACCCTTGTTTTCAACTCATGCATAGTGTATAACTTTGACTCCACTAGGATTTCTAACTGATTTTCCCCTTGGTGACAATAGGAGTGTGTCTGAAAGTGAACTGCTTGGTCGGTATCTAATGATCTGTTACTTTTAAATGCTATCAGTTCGTGATATATCACTATTCCCTACTTAGTATCATCGATGAGCATCTGTTCCTATGCATAACTTGACGGATGGCGGAATTTAGCTAAAACTTCAGAATGTAATCTACAGTTAAATTTATCAAATCTCTATAAATACATTACTAAACCATTCAAATATATTGGAAATAATGTGTTCATCTTCCAGTTTACTAATAATTTTGCGTATGAATTGCTAATAGCATTATACACGACTTATTACGTCAGCCATTTGATATATTCGAACTTCCAGCCAAACGTTCAATGTACTATACCTTTACTTTATCAGTGTCTGTAAGTGTTAGATGGGTGAAATCATGAACTGGAATTTATGACTGTATACTTAATTACATAAATGTAATTTGAGAGGTTATGTGTTAGGTTTCGTATATAGCAGACATTCGTCAATAAGATGTAGTTACAACAGTGAGAGAAATGATGTTCCAGCCCCCCTCCCCACCTCCCGAAGATTCAAACTCACATCACCCACTACCCACTTCAGTCAGAGACATTATAACTGACTTATTCGGGCACACAACTAACCTCATTTAGGACTGTAATGGAGACACTGGTTGGTCATTGGGATCTAAGCAACATCATATGTCTGATCCTTCGTCTGGATGTCTATAGAACACTTTTTTGTTAGTATTCCAAGATGAGAAACCAAGACTTAACAAGGCAAATACCTCTTGTTGTATTTTAAGTTTTAATTCAGCTACTCTTAGGTCGACTATTCTCAGTGAGGTCATCGAGTTTGGTAGTCACTGTCAGTATGATTAGTCATAAGTATTACTACTCCAGATTCAACTGTTTTATCGATTATCTAACGTACACCTCAATAGAATCTGATGAGAACAGAAAAGGAGTCAAGTTGTATAAACTACAGTTACTATATATAATCAAACAGTCTAAATTGTGGAATATACACATTGGGTCATAGGAGTTATTAAAAAGACAATTGCAGCGAAGGAAATTTTCTTTTCGACGAAGTCAACATCAACTAGGCTGTACATTCGTGTATTTATATCAAATGGATGGGAAAGTTCCAGAATAATTTCCGGTTAAGGGTCAAATTAATAAAAATTACAATTAGGAATTATAATGCCACAATAAACATGGACACGGATAAAACTCGAACAAAGTAGCATTATAATAAATAAGAAGATTGACATAGTGCAGTTGGGGGTTAGAAATGTAGAAATAACAAAATATACAGGATGTTTGGATAAAAAACTAGTGTGATGAATAATTGTTTATGCAATCAGGGATTAAATATGTAGAAATAGTAAAATGACAAAATAAACAGGAAGAGTGGATATGAAAATATGGTAGTGTAGACAGGAATTAAGAAAAACTTAAAATAACATGAATAAACAAGAAGTTTAGATAAGAAAGGCGATGAAATTGTCATTACTAAAATTTTTTTACCTGTTTATGATGGCCATGGCAGGGACAAGGGTTGGATGTATTTCTTTTGGATACGAAGAGTGGATTTGAGCTTTTGGATAGCTAGTGCCTTGGCTATGCCCAGATGTCTTGATTTCACTCCCTTTGATAGATTTGATCGAATCTTGTATATTACTTTGAAGGATTTTTCGAAAGGCGCTGAATGTCCTGAGTTGACCAGATGTTCTGTCACTGAACTATATACCCATTTTCGGTCTCCTTTTACTAGCCAGGCTGGGTAGTGTTCGCGAGCGCGTTTTCCAAGTCGGCGCATGGTACGGCCGATGTACTCAGCTCCGCAAGAGCAAGTAAACTGGTATATGCACGTTGAGGTGGCCCAATGCGACAGCTTGTCTTTCACGTTCTGGCTGAACAGTTTCTTGCAGGAAAACGTCAGTCGTAGGCTCGCGGCGAAGTATGTTTTCCTAAGAGATTTGCAGAGGTGTTTGCGAAGGATTTCTGCTTCAATATCACCTTTGAATTCTAGATTAAGCAGAAGTATTTTATATAAATATATAAATATAAATACACGAATGTACAGTCTAAATTGTGTATACAAAATTGTGTAAACATCCTATTACGTCATACCACCCCCAGTGTTGATGACCCTTCGCATCCTGTCTGTATGTATATGCATTTCCTGTTGACATTAGATTCCCTCAAATAAATCCATCAAATTCACTTATTTTTATATTCATTAATCTCTTATATAAACAAGTCTTTTGTTTATTTATTCATTTTCAATATTATTTCTGTTTATACAAATGTCTGAATGCTATTCACAGCATTTTCGATTACCTAGTTTGTTTTAAAGTCAGTTAGCGTAAACTTTACGATCAGACAGGAATGAAATTCATTGTAAACAATAATCGTAAACATTCTGACACTTTCGCCCTTCATTCCCTTGTCTTCCGAGTGAAACACAGGGATTTAAAGGAACACCTTCAGACCACTCGGCCGACTCCATATCTGTCCGTAAACTTTCACTTCCTTCTCACACATTTCTCTCCATTTCAAACTCGGACACTTTTAATCATTCGGGCTACATTCAATGGGGTCTGGAGGGAGTGAAATTTCAGCTCAATATCACCTGAGTGTATGTCTTCTGAACACACAGGTATGGCTTTTTTCCCAAGGTAGATCCTGATGGCTTCAGCTGTATGTAGAAAACGAAATTGTACAAGAGAAACAAATACTGGTCGGAATGCGATGCATAACTTTAAATGCTTTATTAATATGCAATTTTATCCTCACTATCTCTACTAAGTGTGCTGAAACAGAGCTAAGAATAGACCTTGTTTATTTCTTGCTTAAGTATGCAGGATAGTGTCCGTGAAATCCTCCAGTTTATACAGCTTCATATATGATTAATTATCTTGTTAGCTTATACTTGTGACAGTTAGGTACAAGTCAAAACAGGATTCTGGTCTAATCACGGAATATGCCCATTTGATCATAGGGAATAAAAAGACAGTTGCAGCGAAGAAAATTTTCTTTCCGACGAAGTCATCATCTAGGCTGTACATTCGTGTATTTATACCAAATGGAGGGGAAAGTCCGAGAATAATTTCTGGTTAGGGGTTAAATTAATAAAAATTACCATTAGGAATTAGAATGCCATAATAAACAGGGGGATGTGTAAAACTCAAACAAAGTAGCATAATAACTAAGAAGGTTGACATTGTGAAATTGTCCATTTGATATAAATACACGAATGTACAGCCTAGATGATGACTTCGTCGGAAAGAAAATTTTCTTCGCTGCAACTTTCTTTTTATTCCCTATGAACAATGATAATTATAATTATAATAATATCACATCGTGTATGATACGTTTGCCTAGTCCGCATAATTCAACTTCATAAAAGGCGGAAAAAGTCAAATATACTGTGACAGGGTTGACAGTAGCGCTATATCACGAAGTAACAGAAATTAGAATACATGGGCAAGTGAACATCAACCCACATGACTCAATGCTCAACTACTTACCTTCGTAACCTAAAGGATTCAGGCTGAATCTTTGTTGGTGTCATCAGTGCATGTCACTGAAGAGTCTCAAACTAGGCTGAGACAACTATCCAGTGTTCCGTAGTTATTTTTTTTTCAATGCCTCCCTAATTGATGTTCATTCATCGCCTAGTTCACATTGAAGTTAATCTAAATCCTTACTCTCAGTTTCTCATCTTTATATTTTTCGGAAATGTCATCATGCATCATTCACTTAAATACTTCAGTTTTGTTTACATCTGTTTATATTCTTTTCAATTTTTAATTAGCTTGAAGATAAACCTGGAGAAAAGTGTAAGTTATGCATTTTGACTATGTTTTGCTTCAAGTTAATTTATTTTCAAGTCAGACGGTGAAATGATAACAGTAGTCATAGAGAGTCAGGGAGTATAAGAGAGTTGTTTCCATACCTGTTGGGATTATAAATGCCTACTGTTGAAGGCGGGCCTCAAAACTAGGATGAAACAACCATCTAATAAGTACCCCCCCTCGCGTCATCTTTTTAAGTGTTTATCTAACTGATTTCAAGTTTTTGATTACTAGTTGATATCAGTTAGAGAACCATTGAAAACCAGCACTGGAGTACTGGACAGCTGTCTCGTCCTAGTTTGGGAATCATCGGCAACACGCACCCACTGGACTTCGGATCCGGGTTACAAGGCTAGCGAGCTCGTAGACCATTCAGTCACTAGGACCCAACATCCAATGGCAAGTCCATGAATTCTAACTTCTACCAATTCGTGATTTTACTGCGACCACCATAAGGTTAGAATGACTGGATGGTCTATGAGCTCGTCTTGTAACTGAAAGGTTTTGGGTTCGAAACCCTATTGGCGCGTATTGCCAAGACTAGGGGGAAACAGCTGTCCAGTACTCCCAGCTGGTTTTCAATGGTTCTTTTATCATTTTTATTAATATTCCCGTGGGTTCCTACACGTCTCCACTTGCTTCTGTCTTCTGCTGTATTTTTCACTTGCATCCATGTTAGTCCATACTGTTTCAACTCCTCTTCAGACGATCTCCTCCATGTCACCCTAGGATGTCCCACTCGTCGCTTCCCTTTCGGGTTCCACTCGAGCGATGGCCTGACGCGCGATGTCACCCAGCGGTCTCCTCAGCGAGTGTCCAATCCATCTCCACTTTCTCCTGCATATTTGTTCAGCGATTGGTTCTTGTTTTGTTTGTTCCCATAGTTTCTTGTTGGTGATTCTTTCCGGCCATCTGATCTTCAGTATAGAGCGAAGACAGTTGTTGTTGATAAAGGTCTGCAACAGGCTGTTGGAAATATTCTTTGTGACACACAGGCCAAGTTTCTGATCCGTATAGAAGTGTGGTGAGAGCTGTCTACTAGCCAAATTGGTAGACAGTAATTTACGTCAATATTTACGTCAAGATCTGTGCCTGACTCTTACCTTCTGTCGTTACAGAAGAACTGACTGACTTGACGTTTGTATTGAAAATCCGAATCACTTTGTTGTTGATCCAGGCTGAGTGACGAAGATTTCCAGATTGGTTTCAGGTTGATGAGTGTGCTTCTTGCCTTCGCGATTCTCGATTTGACATCCTCGTTCGTCCGTTCCTCCTGTAGTTGAGATAATGCTCCCTAGATAAGTGAATGAAGTAACCTCTTTCAAATCCCTCCCGTTGATGGTGATTGGCGCTGGATGTTGCTGTTGTTGTTGTTGGTTGGTTGGTTATTTTCATAACCTCCGTCTTGTCTATATTCACTTGGAGTCCTGTCTTCTCTGGCTGCTTCTTCGACCAGTTTGTCGGTTTTCGCTTGTAAGTCTTCAATTTTGTGTGATATCAAACATAAATCATCCACACGCGAAATCCAAGTCTTCTAGGTTCTTCGTGTCGGTCAGGACAGGATATCCCTGTCTTCTTATTTCCCACTGTCTGACGCACAATCCAGTCCACCACAATTAAAAATATCATTGGTGATAATAAGCACCCTTGTCTGACTCCTGTGTTTACTCCAAACGCCTCACTGAGTTTTCCGTTGTGGATCACTTGACATGTGCCGTTGTCATACAGCTGTTGAATATTTGGGGTACGCCGTAGTACTCGAGTAGTTTCCAAATTACTTCGCGGTCAACGCTGCGCTGTCGAAGGCCTTCTCAAAGTCTATAAAGTTGAGGTAGAGGTCCAATGGTTCTTTAGCTGATATTAATCTGTGGTCACACTTGAAAAACAAACTGAACCCCTACAAATAAACTCTAGGAAATGATAACTGATATCAGTTCGTGATTTACCATTTTTATAACAATTTTTTTCATTTTTTAATAAGAATTATTTTCACTTTTGCTGCATGAAATTTAACTCTGAAAGAAGAACAAATGAAAAAATTTAAAGCTACTGATACGTATCATATGAAGGGGACACAAAGTTCTGAGGCAGTTGTGAACAAACAAACTTTACATTCGATCATGTGATCATCAATTGATTCTTTAAGTCAGTTTTGGTCAAGAATTGAGATAAGTTGACGGTTGTCTGGTGTTTCAGATCACCTTGATCTGGGCGGTCAGCTCTACTGCTTCACGAGATTGTTTTCTAACTACTAATACTGCTGCATCAGTAGTATATACCATCGCGCTAAATCGCTGAAATAAATAAGCTACGAATATGAACAAGATATCCACTTTATTGAATGTAATGTTTTTCGCATTTCCTAATGTTGGTTTGTCTCAGAGAACAAATCATTAAGAATCAAGAACATCGATAGTATAGCTGAAATCTGGAGAGTACTGGGCACATGCTTTGTCCTAGTATTGGACTCCTCGTCAGTAAGCGACAATGTCCCCAGCAGAAATCGAACCTATGGTCTTTAGGCTGAGGAATTACTGAATTACTGTAGAACCTGAAATGTGTATTCCGCCTTATCTGGAACTCATTAGCTCGATGTATCACTATTGCCAGTGATTTGCGGTGTCCGCGAAAGGACTCGAACGCATCATCCGTCGTTCAGAAATGGCATAGCATTGTCCATTAGGTCAATGGACTAAGATAGCAATATATTTTGAGTAATTGGTATCAGTTCCTATCTGTTGAAATGACTATTCTTGAATTCCCAAGCTGGTTTATTTCCCCCCTTGGGCTCAGTGTTCGATGTTTGTTGACGCTTCGATGGCACACTGAGGTGAACTTGTCATTCCTTTCTCTTGTCATTTTCAATATTCCTTGTTTTAAGATCGAAAATAATAATAATAATGGTTATATTTATATCGATTTTTTTATAGTTTGTGAGCAGTGCATACAAAGTATGGGTTTCTTTAAGAAGGTATGCAAAGATCCAAAGGTTACTGATGGAATTAACAAAAAAATTGATGAAGTATGTGAAAGCGAAGGCAGAGGCGGCGATAAGGTGAGGAGGACTAATAAACTTTCTGTCTTCAAGTGTTGGTTTGTAGGGATTTGATTGGTTACAGGATTTTCATCATGAGCTGACATTAGTTAGAGAACCATTGGAAAACCTGGGAGTACTGGACAGCTGTTTCGTCCTAGTTTGGGACTCTTCATCAGTACGCACCCACCGGGATTCGAACCCAGGACCTTCTGGTTACAAGGCGAGCTCGTATACCATTAAGCCATTGGATCGGGTCCCAGTGGCTTAATGGTATACGAGCTCGCCTTGTAACCAGAAGGTCCTGGGTTCGAATCCCGGTGGGTGCGTACTAACGAAGAGTCGCAAACTGGGACGAAGCAGCTGTCCAGTTCTCCCAGGTCCTCTAACTGATGTCAACACATGATGTAAATCCTGTAAACTTTCTGTCCTTTTCTTCTTCTTTATTTTTCGCGTCCCTGATGTAAATTACGACTTCTGGGAGCTTTGAATTATCAGTAACGATGGCGTTGTTCTACTTCACTAGGTGAGGTTGCTAGCCTTCCTCCCCTCCTTTCCAGGCTAAACACTGATTAGCAAACGAGGTGAGGTTTGGGATTGTGTCAGCTGGGAATCGGACTCGGAGCACTAGAAGAGTGACTACAGAAACGGATTGGACACACGCTGAGGAGAATGTCGAGTGACATCACGTGCTAAGCTCCAGAGTACAACCTGAATGAGAAACGACAAGTCGGGAATCCAGGTGTGATTTGGAGGAGGCCGTAAGAGTTGGACGAAATAAAAAATTTATGGACAGTCGTGCAGCTATGTAAAAAATACAATAGGGTAAAAAGTGAGGTGGTTATATGCTACCGAAGCCCTATGTTCCCCTTGGAACCCATGGGAACAATAATATGATGATATACATGTTATTATGGGATTATATGTTCCTACCAATATATGTGTGAAACCTGGGCGCTGTGATACTATGTAATTCCATATTAATTTGCATATTAGATATATCACACAGTGAAACAGTGTTATTTACTAGATGACGTTTCGAACACCATTTATTGTTCATAATCACAACTTCGAATCAACTGCAAACAAGTGTAGTAGGAATAATTCAACAACTGTCCACCAAGATATCTGGAAAGTTCTACTGCCCCTACGATGTCGAATAGGAAAGAATAAAGAAAACTATAAAACCCAAGTTTCGAAGTCGTGTGATTATAATTGATGAAATGATTTGAAACATTAAATTGCGTTCGAAATTTGGCTTCCTAATATGGATCTAAACAGGCAGTTTGTCTTTTACTCCCGAGCATTTCCTGCTGACGGATTACGCTGTGTCTTCAAAACCACTCCTCTTTTGCGTTCGGGAGTAAAAGATAAACCGCCTAATTCTCCCTTCCCTGCGTATCTACCAATTTAACTGCTCCTGTGAAGTGAGCCAGTTAGTTGCACAGGCCGTACAATTAGGCGTGTTCCTCGTCGGATTTACGAAAATCACCCTGCATAGTGGTTGGTTAAGTAAAGGACAAACAAAATCTATTCGTAGCACTATTCTATCTCATCTCATCTTGTGGATACACAACACAAGATTGATGTCAACGAGGCAGCTTTCAAAGTCACTTACCACATGCCAACAAATCATAACTTCGCCTTAAGAGTTCATTTACTAATATTGGGACCTACATTAAGAAGCCTAATTTATGTGTCCAAAAGAAGTTAGTTCAGACAATTTCCTTACCCCACTGGTCATCTAGGTTCGAATGATCCCAAATTTTGTATAAATTTCCTTAATTTTAGTTGATATTCTATTTGCTATTATATTATTATTATAATTAAAGCATCTTTAATGAACTGTAATTGCATTGAAATTATCGGGTCAATATCTTATTGTTGAACTATTGAGTTAAGATTCAGTATCCCTTGAATTCTAACTTGCTTCAGTTTAAAATATCACGTGACCTCCAATAATGTTATCGATGAATATATGTTCCTAAATCTGACCTGCTAGATTCCATTTGTCACTTTCCCTCCAATGAGTTGGGCATCCTACGGTACACATAGGAGACCATATGAAGAGAAATTGAATGGATTCTGATAGTCATGGAACACCTGTGGAAGGGATTTTTAAGGGACCAAGTGCAATGGAGGTGTGTCGCTAAGGCTTTATCTTACCCTCGGAGCAGAAGGAATGTATAATGATTGTAATCCACAGATCCTAAGTGACCCGTGAGATTCATTAAGTTGAATATGAGAACAAGCATCTACCGATATCATCATACGGTATTGGAGCTATATAATGAATTGACAGAGATTAGCGTCCATGAAACAAACCTTTTAATTAAATCAAAAATATACGGTTTCATGGTTGGAATACAGAACTAATACACCATTGGTGTTGTATGGATTTATATTGAAGCTATTTCAAGGCTACACAAAGACGTCATCAACGTCATTCAATATGAGAGACTTTAAATCTTGTAGGCTTATTCTTTGTTATTTAGAAATGTGAGATTTCTCTTAACCTGCAGTCCCAGTTAACTAGTTATACACACTAAAAATGTATTGAACATTTGTTTGGCTGTGTGTTAAGAATCTTTGATAGTATGTACTTAGCATATATGTAAAAGATGGAAGCCAACGTGCACAGTAGCGTATGATGCCCAGTTGCTTCTGGCTTCAAATACATCATATGTGTAATCCAAGACAGTTGTCTAGTATTCCATAGTTCTATTATCTTTTTTGCTAACGATTCGTAAGCAATGTACGCAGTTTGAGGGATGAAATTTTCACTACAGTAGGTGTTTACAAACCTCAGTAGGTGCAGACTGATGAAGAATCCCAAACTAAAAAACTGACGAAACGGTTGGATTTCCAGTGGTTATCTAACCAATGTCAGCTCATGATGAAATCCTGAAATCAACCAGTAATGTGGGTTAGCCATACTGAGGTGATCTAAACATCAGACAGCCATTTCGTTCGTTTAGGGCTAAGTTCATCAGCGAAGGTTTCCAGAGGAGACGGTGGGGCACATGTCAACCCTTGAGCAGCGTACACTACAAATTGTGAATTTGATTTGTAGTGTCACCAGCTCACCCAAGTAACTAGCCAGATATCGGGTCACCTAAACTGATTCGATTCCCCCGGGATGAGTCACACAGGATACATCGTAGATGAGTTCAGCCCTAAACGAGAGAAATAGGGGTCCAGCGTTTACTTCACCTCGGTCTGGTTAACCAGCAAAAATTATTATTTGATAGAACTGGTATGTAACTACTCATCTCATCGAATGAGTAGTATATAGTATTATGCCAGCATTTTTATCAGTTTGTCACTTAATCTGCTTGAATGAAAACTACGTAAACTCAATAACTAAAAGTGTCTTTATATTCTACCATTTGGATGGTTTATTTACGAAGTTTTCAATGTCCTTCTGGAGGACGTCATCAGCGCGAAATTCAATAAATTATGAATTCTTTTACATCCTTTCAGTTATAAATTGTCGTTTTCGTATTATACGAGAGCCATCACCCGACGGTGTATTTGCTTCCTAGGGAGTGAATGGTGTTCCCGCCGATCTAGTGGAGAACACTTTGGAGAAGAGTTTGAGTTTCAGTGAGGATAACGTCATCCACATCCAGAAGATAAGTCCGAAATAGGATGAAACTCGAGTCCTGAACGCTACTCTTAATCGCCAACATAGAGTAATGCCAAGTTACTAAGCCTGATGACACTGAGATAATCCATCTAAGAAGATCATAAACTGGAATGAGACTGATCAATTCTTCCCAGAATTACATATATACACATATATATCAACGAGAAATCAAAAAATACTAACAAATAATCATAATTGTATGTTTGCATTTATTTTTTTTCAATTTCTCCGTTTTTAGTGTGCAGAAATCTTCACAACAACTATAGATGGTCTGATAACTTTTCTCGAGGCCCATACTCCAACCGATATCTGTCAGGTAAAGATTTTTTTCAAGTAGTGCTTTTCCCTTCTGTTTTGTATCTTAGCATAATATTTCATTGTTTTACGTCTGTCTTACTCTGCTTGCCAATGAATGAGTTCCCTCCACTTGTTCGTGTGACATACTCCACTATCGTTCTATATCAGTTAATAAATGAAGAGTGCTTGGAACCCTTAAGTATGGTACCTACTCTTTTTAGGTACCAGAAAGGCTAATTAAAAACTAAAATTTCATCATGAACTGGAATCTTCCAACGTTAAATCGTCAGTGTTTACTCAGATTATGGCATTTATAGGAGGAATTCGGATTAGTTTCACTGTAGATTATTTGAAAACAGCACCATTAGTTACAGGACCGCTGAAAACTAGCGAGCATTGGACTAGGGAGTATTGTCTCAACTACAGGAGGAACGGACGAACGAGGATTTCAAATCGAGATTCGAGAAGGCGAGAAACACATTCATCAACCTGAAACCAATCTGGAAATCTTCGTCACTCAACTCAACATCAACAACAAAATTCGGATTTTCAATACAAACGTCAAGTCAGTCAGTTCTTCTATACGGAACACTTGGAACTTGGTGGGTCACAAAGAATGAGTATTTCCAACAGCCTGTTGCAGATCTTTATCAACAACTGTCTTCGCTGGCTCTATACTGGAGACCAGATGGCCGGAAAGAACCACCAACAGGAAACTATGGGAACAAGCAAAACAAGAACCAATCGCTCAACAAATATGCAGGAGGAAGTGGAGATGGATTGAACACACGCTGAGGAGACCGCTGGATGACATCGCGCGTCAGGCCAATGCTCGAGTGGAACCGGTAAGGGAAGCGGCGAGTGGGACGCCCAAGGGTGACATGGAGGAGATCGTGTGAAAAGGAGTTGAAACAGTATAGACTAACGTGGACGCAGGTGAAAAGTACAGCAGCAGATAGAAGCAAGTGGAGACGTGTAGTTGAAGCCCTATATTCCACTAGGAACTCAAGGGAATAATAATAAAAAATAATATTTGGACTCCGTCACAGGCAACGGTGGGGTCGACTGTACAGCTTTGAAGAGAAGTTACGAAATGAGATCGCCTTACTGACTTATATGGTTTCTTAATTCGCTTCCTGTTGGAGTTTATCACACTTAACCATGGAGTATTGGATAGCTGTTTTTCCCCTATATTGTCTCCCATCTTTGATAGATTACAGGTGTGCACTCATAGGGAGTTGCATGGTACCTTTTAGTGTCTTCATAAGTCCTCCAACTGGTGTCACTTCGTGATCTAATCAAGAATCTAGTGAAATTACTTTGAATAGTCTCTTCACCAGTTGTATTTTACTCCTGCTTTCTTTTTCTTCTCTCAACGTTTTCTTTTCCTCCCTTCTTATAGTTGATACAATTTTGTAGAACCTGAAGAGATTTCTGGGATGGCATCGCTTCGATTATTAAGTAATACAAACTTTTCGTTTCAATTAAATATATATTATAAATAATTATAAATAATCTTGTAGAGTTTTTGTTTCACTCCCTTCAAAATATTTTCCATGTTCATAAGTGTCGTTGGCACAGGCAGAGCATTCATAACACAATACGCAGAGTAATCAAGTAATCTGACGAAAAAGTATGACGATAGGGTACTCCTGATTGATATAAATAGTTTAAAGACACTGACATCAACCAGTACTTATGCATGCTGAACAGATTGAAGTGATGCAAACACCAGGCTGAGGTTTCATCCCTTTTGGGGCGACCTCATCAGCGATTCACCCTAGGTGATTGATATAACCGTCAGTACAACCTAGTAGTTTCAATATAGCGAAAAATATTCATTCAGACATCTATAAAACACAAAATAATTGAGAAAAGAATATCCTTTTCGATAATTTCCTCTTATGGCTCTACAAATGTATATATATGTTTATATACATAGAATATTCTAGATTAGTAGTCATTAAAGTTGGTCAAAGATGCTTAAATCATAATAATAATAATAATACAATAGCAAATAGAATATCAACTAAAATTTAGGAAAATTCCACAAAAATTGAGGATCATTCAAACATAGATGGCCAGTGGTGTGAGGACAATGTCTGAACCAACATCTTTTGGACACATAAATTAGGCTTATTAATGTGCATCCTAACAGTCAGCCTCAGCAATATTTAGTAAACGAACTCTTAAGGCGAAATTAAGATTTGTTGGTATGCGCGGTAAATGACTTTGTAAGCTGACTCGTTCACATCAATCTTGTGTTGTGTATCCACAAGATGAGACAGAATAGCGCTATGTGAATAGATTTTGTTTGTCCTTTACTTAACCAACCACTATGCAGGGTGATGTTTGACCAGGTCAGAGAACACAATAAAATTAAGACATTTTACTTTGAAATCAATTGGTAATGGTTAACGAAAAGCGCATTTCGTCCTGTCTGGAACTCATCAACTAGAATCGCATGCACTCGCAGTGAGTGATGGTGTTGACACTAAGAATTGAACCTCCTTTAAGTGTCAAAACATTATTCATCAAGACACTAGCTAGCAATGATGCTATACATTGTGAATTGGTAGAAGTTCGACTTCAGGAGCCAGTGAATTCTATCCTATTGTCTGAATGGCCAGTGAGCTGCCCTTATGGCCTGGAGGACCTGGGTTCGATCCATGGTGGAGTGGTGGATGCCTATTGATGAGGTGTCCCAAACTAGAACGAAAGACTTTTTTCATATAAATCGTGTTGCGATAATGTGCTGACCTCTAAAGGTAGTCGAAACTCTCTCTCTCTGCCTCTGTCTCACTGTCGACACGGGATTATCCCAAAGGTATTATAAATGACAATTTTAAGTAGGAGAGATAAATGGGACTATAATAAGTGAATTAAGCAATAACTTGTGGAGCTGATCTCAAGAGATTATGTGTCCGAAAAATGATGATGATGATAATAACAATCAAGGATGTATGCTTCAAAAGTCATCAACCATAAAGGATTCGTATCATTCACACACACACACATACAAACAGATACAAACGGGCACATGCATGCACATCAATCTGTGCTCATTCTCAGGCAATATTTAAACTTATTATCTCATCTTTCAATGAGCACAAACTCATTGTGACAATTTGAAAATAGGAGAGAAAAATTTAAAAAATTAATTAGACAAGACGGTAAGTAGATTAGGCTATTCACATTCAAATTAATTTATGAATTCATCGTTCATTACATGTCCAGCTGCCTTGTTGACCAAAAAGAAAAGAAAAAAAGTGTGCTCAAATCGCTTGAGAATAAATCGACGAACAAATCAGTCAAAAAGACAAAACTAAATAAAGACTCAATTTACAAATATCCATCTCATGTCTAGACTTATTAAAGATTATTTATTATATACAAATTTTGTCTCAAAAATCGTTTATCCACCGAGGAAAAAGTGTGATTTGTCAAAGTGTAATTAATATACACCTACCTAATCACCTAATTAATGCATGAATGATTAGTAATATTGATTACATTTTGAGATGGGTGATAATAGTTGAGTCGTAATAGGATTATGTAATTATTAACAGACAGAAATTATACAAAACATTTAAGTTTGGCGAAGGATTGATATCAGTTAGAGAACCATTGAAAACCAGCAGGGAGTACTGGACAGATGTTTCATCTTAGTTTGGGAATCATTGGCAGTACGCACCCACCACGGGGGTTTGAACCCAGAAGCATCCGGTTACAAGGCAAGCTAGTGACTTGAAGGACTGTAGGGCGGAGTTTCCTGGAGTTCTAGTGAGCAGTCATGACCAGTGAGGTCCACCCAGTCAAGTGTGAGGATGGATTTTTCACCGACGACATTCGTTGGTGCCATTCGCGATAAATCACGAGTCGCTAGAAGTTAAAATTCATGGACTGCCCACTGATGAGTCGGGTCCTAGTGGCTGAATGGTCTATGAACTCGCTAGCCTTGTAACCGGAAGGTCCTGGGTTAGAATCCCTGTGGTGGGTGTGTACTGCCGATGTTTCCCAAACGATTATGAAACGGCTGTCCAGTTCTCCAGTGCTGGTTTTCAGTGGTTTCCTAACTGATATCAATCCGTGGTCAAACTCGTGTAAACAGATCTAATCCTTGCAAACCAACTCTTGAAAATTTCCAATAATCTAATAGTTTTCTGATAGCTGATATCACATCCAGAATATTTCATATTTGTTGAATATATACATCTTAAAAAGGAAACATATGTACATTCCCCAAAGAGAATTCAAAATCTCATTTCATTTTAAAGTCAGTAGTGAAGATGTTGTGTAGAAGGACAAGAGAACCTTGGCAATCGAACAATTCAGCTCAATGAGCACAACAACAGTAGCAGAGAAAAACATCCACCTAGGCTACATTATCTTCTCTATTACTTCAGCATACAAAAATCCTAACAAAAGTTTGTTTGAACAGTATTCATATTGGGTGATGAGTGTAGATGAAAAGGAAATCTGGGTAGCGGTAGGATTGGAAAGACGCATTAATCCGCTCAATCGAAGCTGGGCAACACAATAAAATGATGACTTATTGTAAGTGTAGAACTTAGGCACCGTGGTAGAATGTTATTCCATATTAGATAAGTTTATTTTAAATATCAGACAGTGATGATGCAGTATTAAAAACTAGATGACAAGGTTTCCAGTTTAAACTATTGCCACTCATAACCATTTGAATTTTTGTCACACGGTTTCACAGTTTGTCTTATATACTTTTCTCTCTTTCTGTCTCTCCAACTTGCCTTTGTTGTTTGTCGCACTTTCCATATCTTCGGTATAGGCGTTGCGTGGGGGATGTCGAATCGATAAACAAAGCTTCAGTTATTAACCTCTCTCTCACTCTCTTTCCACCTAACTAAATTACTTTTTAATACTCTCACCCTGTCCCATTCAACCTATTGTGTAATTACATGCAAGTGAATGCAGTGCAGTGCAATGGCTGAGCTTTTTTCTAGGTTATTTAACTTTGTAGGGTCAGTCATTTTAGGTCTAGCTAAATTTTTATGTTCCAATAATCTAGTTGACCCCTATCTACTAGTTTGACCCATGTAACTGATCTCACAGTCATTATATGGTGTTTCGTAAGTTATATATATAACTTCTCTATAGTGACTTGCTACAGGTTGGAGCTTCCTGGAGTTCTAGTGAGAAGTTGTCACCAGTGAGGTCCAATTAGATGTCACGTGTGTGGATGGATTTCCCACCAACGACAATGGTTGAGTTCACGCTAAAATCACGAATTCGTAGAAGTTAGAATTTATGGGCTGGCCATTGAATCGGGTCCCTGTGGCTGAATGGTATACGAGCTTGCCTTGTAACCGGAAGGTTTTGGGCTCGAATCCCAGTGGGTGCGTACTGCCGATGATTCTCAAACTAGGATGAAACAGCGGCTGTCCAGTACTCTCTGGTTTTCAATGGTTCTCTAACTGATATCAGTGCGTGATCAACTCGTAAAATATATAACTTTATTGAATCTATTGTGTCCTTCAGCCGACAAAGTTTATCTCTGTGATAGTTGGTTGGTTGGTTTAAATGCCATCCTAATTCCAGCCTCAATGAGAATCCTACTCAAGGTCTCCGACGTTCTTTCTTTATACGGCAGTACCACAGAGGCTTTAAATTCCATATTATTTTTGTCATTTTCACTACTAATCTTATTTTTATGTGGTTTCTGATACATTTCTGAATAAACTCTGGCAAGTAGTTAGTTATTCACTAGTAATATTCCCTTTATTTGCTTGATTTCATTATTTAAATCTTCTGGCCTACTAGGTAGGCTCTTGGTCTGATTAAAAAGATATTCAAGATAAACCAATCAAATCCCTACAAACCAACACTTGAAAATCAATGAGATGCTCACTAGCGACTTGCCCTATTCAGGTGGGTAGTCACCTGGGGTTCTAGTGAGAAGTCGTGACCAGTAGGGTGCAGCAGGTCGGGCGTGAGGACAAGTACTCGCCGAAGACATCGGCTAGGGGTCGCGCTATGTCGTGAATTGGCAGAAGTTAGAATTCATGGACCATTGGATCGGGTCCCAGTGGCTTAATGGTATACGAGCTCGACTTGTAACCAGAAGGTCCTAGGTTTGAACCCCGGTGGGTGCTTACCACTGAAGAGTCCCAGACTAGGACGAGACAGCTTTCTAGTACTCCCAACTAGTTTTCCAATGGTTCTCTAACTGATGTCAGCTCATGATGAAATCCTGTAACCAATCAAATTCCTACAAACCAACACTTAAAAAGATATTCAACTGAACCTATATTTAACCGATTCTGGACATGACGAATCAAAGTCTAAGGATTTATTAGAGTGCGTCGGTTCCCTATAAATGCTCGCATCTAACCTACCACCATCTTGTTTTCCTTTTTATTGTACAGTCTAGACAAAACCAATACTTGAAAATTAATCTGATGCTCACTAGTGACTGGCCCTAATCAGGCAGTGACCTGGGGTTCTAGTGAGAAGCCTTGACCAGTACGGTACAGCAG